ATAGGAACAATAGTGCATCTCCTTAGTGCTGCTCCCTGCGGCTCAGGCCTGGGAACACAGCTTAAATACAAGTGGGAGATGTGAACCCTGTACTTCCTCCCCCCCCCCCCCCCAGACACGGGCACAGTCACGTATGACAGGTGCTGACACTCCAGCTTCATGCGACAGTGGGTTCCGTGTAGATAGAAAACAGGATCGTGCACTTTCACTAAAAAAGCCTAAGTTTTCTTGGGGGCAAAAAATACGGAACAAAGAGCAGTGCATTTACCTGGGTGGATTCCAGTAGGAATGGAAAAGGCTAAGAAAACAGGTGGGAAGTTTTGGAGACAAATGTCACCGCTGTTAAGCTACTCCAGACAGCGCCAAGAATAAGACTACACCCCCTCCTCCCTGCTCCCCTTTCCTCTAGAACTCGGACAGCACCGTGCACAGTATCCTGCACCCCTACGATTTTGAATTTTCTGGTGAATGGGACTTTTTCTTTTTCATTCAGAGAGTCAAGAGTGCAGCTGATGGTTCTGGCTCAGTGATGTCCAAGCTGAAACTATATTTTCCTAATTGGAACTTCTCAATGCAACCATTTTCCAAGAAAAAAAGTAGACACTCTTGCCCTTGAGACTTAAGAGTAATAGGTCTTGCTATGTGTAGCTTCTCCCTTCCTCTTCTCCCAAATTTTGGCCATGGACAAGAGTAAATTCTAGGGATTTTCTCAACAACATCTGCAGCAAAGATGACTGCATTAGAGAAAAATAGTAACTATTTCTTTGAGAGGAAGTTATTACTATCCACATTCAAGAGATAGAAATGGAGGTTAGATGCATTTGAGGCATTTATTTATAGTCAGTAGGAGGTAGAAGCAGCTAAGCCGAGTCTGATACAGGCTGTAATATAACATTATGATCAAATATCCAGGCACAGCTGAGATTCAAAACAGTCTTCATCATTTACTAATGATATGACCAGGGCAAGGTTAATCATTTTCTCTTAAGCCTTACTTTTTTCATTTGTAAATTAATCTTAAGATTGGGTCCAAAACTCTTTCAACAAATACTTATTGTCTATGAGTATGGTGATTACCAGAGGGAAATGGGGGTGAGAGGGTATAGGGGAGATAAATGGTGATGGAAGGAGACTGGACTTGGGGTGGTGAACACACAATACAATATATAGACGATGTATTATAGAATTGTACACCTGGAAACTATATAATTTTATTGACCAATGTCAACCTAATAAATTCAATAAAAAATGTTTATTGTTTGCAGTAAACCAGTGTCTACCATGTACCAAGCATTGTCCTATATACTGGAATACAGTAGGCTCATAATAGAATACAAACAATAAAATAATTTAAGAAAATGACCAGTAAATACTAAAGACGTAGCAAAAACTGGTCATTAATATACTACAACCACTGTATATGTCTCTAGGGCATCATTTGAGTTTTTCATTTTTTTTTCTCCTTGACATTCATGCATTCTATATCTCCACCAAGCAGCTAGAACATATATCTCTAGTGTTGATCAACACCGGAAGTGTGGCTTTCATGTGCTTACGTAGAGCAAGAGCTGGGAGAGAAACAGGTAGGCTCCAACTAAGTTGCACTTTTGGTTACAAATTGGTGCCAAAAGTTTTTTAAAAGATTGAATTCATAACGGGGACAGCGTTTTCCTTGTGGTTTGTAGAACTAATATTTAAGCTGCATGATAAGGGAACGCTAACATCTCTTTCTTTAGGTTCGGTGGAAACCCTCACATTTACCAGCTTAGCACTCAGATTTTCTCAAGGGCATAAACATACTGCTTTTGCCAACAGCTGACGAGCCCTGGCTAAAACCCCCAGAGTGAGGCAGCTGAACAGGAAACACATCCTCCTCTACTTCAAATATTTTTACCATGACAATTTGAAAAACAACGAGCTATTACAATGATGATATATTTATACCTCAACTGGAATTACACACAGGATCTACAAACCCAAACAGGAATAAAAGCAAGTATCACCTATGGCTGCACAGTCACAGCCAAGCATCTGGGGAACCTATTTGAAAACAGGACACTTTTCTGTCTGAACTCTCCTCTGCCCAGTCTACTTACGGCACATCTTCTGCATTCCCACCCAAGTCCTGGTTGCTCCCGCCTGCTCATCGACAGCTTCCATTGGAACCTGCACAGACGCCCTGCTCTTGGCAGAGCGGTAGTGCTGTGTTTAAAACCCGTCTGTGACTTTGACAATGAGGCCTAGACACAAGCTCATTTCCTGTGGTTTTATACTTGATAGAATGTCTCCGGAAACACTAAGACCTAGTAACTAATCTATATTCCTCCTTACACTTCTCTCCTGGCGGCACCTTTGGCCCGACCATGAGTAAACGCTGAATGATTTATTTTTATTTTTTAAAATATATTTCTTTATTGATTCCAGAGGAAGGGAGAGAGAGACAGAAACATCAATGATGAGAGAGAATAATTGATCGGCTGCTTCCTGCACGACCCCTACTGGGGATCGAGCCTGCAACCCTGGCATGTGCCCATGACCAGAATCGAACCTGGGATCCTTTAGTCCGTAGGCCGATGCTCTATCCACTGAGCCAAACCAGCTAGGACTCTTGTGGTATTTTTACACAGTGCATTTTCTTAAAGCAAAAAGTGTTAGATAATCATAATCTTCTTAACTTCCAATATTCAGAAACCTTGTCATTATTTTATATTTAGAGGAACGCAAGCATAAAAACATAAAATAAATGTTCGAAAGTCTTGTCTAAATTATAAGCATATGAACACTTAGCTGTTCTGCACACTGGAAATAAAAAGAAATAGTCTTTGTCCTCCAGAACTTCATAATTTTGCAATCAAGTCATAAACATTAAATAAAGAAGAAAAGCTCTGGTCAGGTTAACTCAGTGGTCAGATTGTCAGCTTGCAGACCAAAAGGTCTCAGGTTCGATTTCCAGTCAAGGGCACATACCTTGGTTAGAGTTTCAATCCCTGGACCCAATGGTGCGAGCAGGGGGAAACTAGTGAATGTCTCTCTTTCTCCTGATCCTCTCTCCCTTCCACTCTCTCTAAAAAAGCAATGGAAAAAATATCCTCCAGTAAGTATTAAAAGAAAAATAAGTACAGAAGCATGGAGGGGAAACAGTACACTGACCATGATGGCACAGACCAAAAGGGATGTGTGAGTCCAGAGGACTCTCTCTAAAGTGTCCTCTCTCTGAAAGCTTTACAGACACCAATCAGCCTGAGAAATGGATCTAGTCCAAATCATTATACATAATGTACTGAAAAGCACTGAGTCAGCAAGTAGTGCTAGATGTTCCTGAATTTCAAGAAAAACAAATATCATAAAAGTAACTGAACAGTGTTGTGATCTTTTTTCATTATTTGTACCCACCAAATCAGCTTTCATTTATGTGACATACCACGATAAATCTTTACATTAAAAAATATGTAATGTATTGATTTTGGATTAAAAAATATGAACACTTAGCTGTTCTGCACACTGGAAATAAAAAGAAATAGTCTTTGTCCTCCAGAACTTCATAATTTTGCAATCAAGTCATAAACATTAAATAAAGAAGAAAAGCTCTGGTCAGGTTAACTCAGTGGTCAGATTGTCAGCTTGCAGACCAAAAGGTCTCAGGTTCGATTTCCAGTCAAGGGCACATACCTTGGTTAGAGTTTCAATCCCTGGACCCAATGGTGCGAGCAGGGGGAAACTAGTGAATGTCTCTCTTTCTCCTGATCCTCTCTCCCTTCCACTCTCTCTAAAGGAGGAGGAGGAGGAGGAGGAGGAGGAGGTCATTTATGTGACATACCACGATAAATCTTTACATTAAAAAATATGTAATGTATTGATTTTGGATTAAAAAATTCAGTCAATAATAAAACATATGATTGCCATGATCACACTCCAGGTAAATTTCTCACTGTCTGCCCTGAGAATATGGAGCTCTGTGGAAAGTGGCTAATGAATTTTTCACTCAAAACATTAGCACCTTTATGAAAATCACCTCTTACGTTTCGTTTCTCCTTTTTAAAAGTACAGCATGCGTTTGTGGGAAACTTCTCACACATTTACCCAGTGTGCTCCAGAATTTTCCTCTTGCTCACAGCCTGAGAAATGTTTGGGTTTTTAATCTAAACATACAGAGGGAAATTTACCACCAACAAATTTCTTGTTGCTGTTAAATGGATCCAGAGGCTATAAGGCTCTTGAACGCTGTTTTAATGTTTTCTGAAGCATGAAGAGAAGCATTGCTAACGTCAGAGGATGTGAGAGGAAGGCAGAGAAGAGATCTCTATTGGAGCATAGCTGGCCTGAAAGGGGAGGCCCAGCAGCTCCTTCTCAAGTGTCTCTTCCTCATCCTTCCACACCTGCTTCTCCCCAGGCAGGGCCCCTGCTCCACTCCTCTGCCTCTTTCCAAACTTCCACCATGTCCAACATATCTGCTTGCGCCCTCTACACCAAGCATGTCAAACTCACGGCTGGTGGGCCGCATGCCTCACCTCTGCTCCCCATCTCAGTTCAAGATGTATCTTCTTCAACTGGCATTTTCTTAATTCTTGCAATCCACATTGCCCTCAATTTGCTTACATCTTCATACATTGTTTTAACCCAGTTTTTCCTTCATCGTATTGATCCTTCTGACTGATTTTAGTCTCTGCTCAATTGTAAACTTGATACTAGCGACATCTGCAATAGCTTATGAAATTCACAACAATTACAGTGACTGGTAGATGGGGCAAATGTGCATCACAGCTTATTATGTGCCAGGTAAGACAACCAGGTACAGGAAGGAGCCTGACAGACATGGTCTCTGCTTCCTGGAGGGTGTGGTCTCAAGACTCAAGGTCAGGGCCTGTTCTTCACTTGTGGGCCTTTAATCAACGTTATTCCTTTTGCCTCGCATGTCTTCTTGTTACCTTGCACCCAATCTTTTCCTTTTGTTTCCAAATCAAAACTCAATCTGGGGTCTCTTTCAAGGCATTGCACACATAGCAGTCAATTATAACCTGAATTATTAAAAATAACCACGATAAATCGCCATGGACAGAACCAGCCCCGCAGTATTATCTAAACCCGCACAGAAAACAACGGTCTTCACACGTGGAAAGTAAGAAACAGACCACCCATATCTACCTAGCAAAACCATAACCGTGAACTGCAGAACCGTGTTTCCTCTTAAAAATATTATGCCAGCCAGTGACACAGAGAGCAAAATCCAGTTTGAATGAACGCATCTCACATGCCATGGTAAGGCATGATTTGCCTTCATCCAAAAAGTATTTTTTATTACTTTATTGGGGTGACATCGGTTCACAAAACCGCATCGGTTTCAACTGTGCAACTCAACAAAACATCATCCGCACACTGCTTCCTGGGCCCATGGCCCCAGTTCGTCTGAAATATATCTGTAATAACAGATTTCTCCCTCTGTGCCTATGATGAGTTATGAGACCCATCCAAGCGTGGGTCATGCTACTAGACATTTCAGATCATGGCCCCGTATTCCACCTCCCTGAGCTAGTGCGGAGTCTAGAACTCCTCTCACCTGGCGGCACAGTTCTTCCCACTGCCTCTGCAGAAGCTCCCCGCGTTCGTTCAGCATGGACACGTCATCAGCGCTGATGTAGGCACAGAGGGTGTCCTTCAGTAACGTCAACTGTGCCAAGTCATCTGTCCAGCTGCCCACTGCAGTTTCCAATTCCTAGATTAAAGACAAACAAACATGCAAACTTGAATACTCATGGACATCCGTCCTCAACAATTTCTGAAGTATATTCGAGATCCCTTCTTGATACAATTACCTTTTCACCCCACTCTCTGTTTGAACATCTAACTTGGTAACTAGTTATTTTCTTCCACATGATTTGATAATTTTCCAAGTTCTGATAAAATATCTGATTGCCTACAGAATCTTTCCACCATCTATCATCATTTCATTGATCATTTTTGATCGTCTTTTCTAAGTTGAAGAGTTGAAGTTGCATTACCTCATTGATCTTCTTTACTGTAAACTGACTTCATAAACACCTAGACCATCCATTTTTCTAGTTCTGAGTTACTGATCATATTAATGAAATATATTTTTTAAAAACTCAAACTCTTAGATTGAACTTTCATGTTCAAACACTATGAATTGCTACATTCTGTGATATAGAATTATAAGGTAAAAGTTGAGAAGGTCTAGTTATAATTTTACTCAAATTAAAATAATGGGCTGAATGCCTTTTTTGCAGGATTAGAGATTTCTTAAAGTAACTTGTCCAAATACATATCTTCTGATTTTAGGGAGAACCAATTTAAGAAAAAAAATCATAAAAAAATATTTGAATAGGTTGACATTAGTGTTTGCAATGTTTGAACAGATTTTCCAATTTGCATAGCTAATGCTTTTTGCCAGCTCTTGATGATCTTAGATTCCAGCTAATTTAATGTATAAATGGAATATTTCACGTGGCTTTTCCCCTCTCTTTTTGTCTCTTCACATAGCGGACAAGTTTCCAAAGGGAAAGGCAATTAACGGCACTGTCAGAGGCTAACGTCCTAGGCAATTTAGGCAAATGAAGGTTCAGCCTGAATTTTCTAGGTAATTGTTTGTTCTGCTGCTAAGGGTGGTTTGGGGGAAGAGTAGAAGGGAGCTGGACCAAAGTGCATCCTTTTAATCTCCAAACTTAATAGCAGGGCATGTTTGTAAGTTTCCTGTATTTTGGGAGATGAGATCCCATGGTAACAGTATCAAAACTGAAAGATCAAATCATCCAGGTATATTAAATATGCAGCATTCCTGTTTATGTCCATAGACATATTAAGTTGCCATGCCAATGTAAAGGTTTTCCTCTTTTTACAACAGTTTTTAACTCCCAACTCAGACATCAGATTTGGTATATAGATTTAAAAAGTAACAACAGCCCAGCCGGTGTGGCTCAGTGATTGAGTATCAACTTATGAACCAGGAGGTCACGGTTCAATTCCCAATCAGGGCACATGCCAGGGCTGCAGCCTCGATCCCCAGTAGGCAAGTATGCAAGAAGCAGCCGATTAATGATTCTCTCTTATCGTTGATGTTTCTCTCTCTCTCCCTCTCCCTTCCTCTCTGATATCAATAAAAACATGCTTAAAAAATAAATTAAATAAAATAAGTTTAAAAGTAACACCACCACCAGAAACCAACTTTTTCAGACTTTCAGACTCCCTGACTTGAGTCCATGTGGTAAAAATAAAGCCTTTGGACTGAGGCAACCTTGATATTTACTAACTTTGAAAAGCTATTAAACTTCTAGAAGTCTCAGTGTTCACACCTGTAGTAGGGAAATAAAAGGTTGTTCTCATGAGCTGTGCTCATGACAACAGAGAGGACACTGATATATTCACTGATACAGGGAAGGAGCTAATAAATGCCCATGCCTGGTTATTGAAAGTTTCTTCAGTCATTGTTCATGTACTTACAATCACAGATTTAACACAAATTCTCTTAAATCTCTGCATACTTCTGCATTCATACCTCGTGATATTATTTCACTCACCATCCATGATGTAAAGCACACTTACTACCTTCTATTTTTCCTAAGTCTGACTCTCTCAAGTTTCAAAGAATAGCCATAGTTTTAATATCAAAGAAAAATTCTTATATGCACACATTTTATGATTTCTAGACTTCTTTTTTGTTGTTGTTAATCCTCACCCGAGGATTTTTTTCCATTGGATTTTAGACAGAGTGGAAGGGAAGGGGAGAGACAGAGAGAAACATCAATGTGAGGGAGACACACCGATTGGTTGCCTGCTGCACGTGCCCCGACTAGGGCCAGGGATTGAGCCTGCAACTGAGGTACTTGCCCTTAACCGGAATCGAACCTGCGACCCTTCAGTCCACAGGACGATGCTCATTTCTATATTTCTTTAATAATTAATATTTCTTAAATGCTTACCTTCTTAGCCAAAGTGAAGCAGAGAACTGATTAAAACCCAAATTACTTAAGTATGTGTGAAGTTTTAAACAGAATTACTCTAGTGCAGTGATTTGCAAATGACAGGAAACACAGGGATGTGTACAGAACATTTTTAACGGTCGTTTTGAGTTGACCTGCATGTGGCTCAGCAGAGAACTGCTGTTCAGGCACTACCCTTGGCTCCCAGGTGTGAATGGAAGGCATCCTTCAGCCGCTGTGTCATGTTGGTCTCCGTGAGCTCAGGATGCGGCCAGGCGTCTGCATTAGGGACTGATTGCTCCCAGTGCACTCTGAGGTGTCAATCACAGTCTGTACGTAGGGGGGCCCTGAGCGCCTAGAGGACTGTGTCCCAGGCAGTGACTGAGGTCAGCTATTTACAGCTGCTGTTCCATACAGTAGAGTCTGCACGGCAGGGCGTGCTCCTCCGGGGCCACTGCCTGCAGGATCCTCACGCGGCCCAGACTCGCTTTCCCTCCTGTACACTGGGCTCTTCTGCTAGAATGACTCTCCGGTGGCTGCTTTAAAGAGGTCACTTCGGCTGCAATACACCCGGAACGTGCATCTACATGCCGACGCCATAGGAGTGTGACCTGATTATGCCTTCAAAGGCATTATCACAGCAGAAGCACACAGGTAGGTGACAGGTAAAGCTCAGTCCAGCCCGGCTGGTGTGGTTCAGTGCTTGAGCATCGACCTATGAGCCAGGAGGTCAGGGTTCGATTCCCGAACAGGGCACATGCCCAGATTACAGGCTCGATCCCCAGTGTGGGGGGCATGCAGGAGGCAGCCGAGCAATGAGTCTCTCATCATTGATGTTTCTCCCTCTCTCTCACTCTTTCTTCCTCTCTGAAATCAATAAAAACTTATTACAAACCAACCAACCAACCAAAAAGCTCAACCCAGCCACTCACCTTGCAGCGCATCTGTTCTGCAATGAGCTCGTCCTGGTGGTCCGGCAGAGGCAGGGAAAGCTTCTTTTTGAAAGTTCGCAGTTTCTCCAGAGACTCAGCTATTCCACTCTCACACTTCTCCCAGTCCTAAAATGGGAGGAGAAAGACAATCGATGTATTCTTTTGTAGGAAACTGGAAGAAAAATACCCTCTGAATTCCCATACATCAATTATTACCTGATTTTTTTTTTTACCAGACACATGTATTTCTTTTGTAATAAGAAAAGTAAAAGAAAGAACATACAGAAATCAGAATAGGAACTTGATTGTTGACAGCACCCAACCCACAGGTGAACTCCTATCTGCTGTCTCAGTGCCAGTGCAAATTAACTTCAACTAAACAAATCCCCTTAATTTTGTCTAATGCCCCCCATGCCTGGCTTCCCCCTCTCTATCAGCCCTCCCCAGGGACCCCTCCCCACAACTTGAGTTACTGAGTTCCAAAGAGAAACAACCAGAGTTGCTTTTAATAATTCGTGTGGTGCCGAATCACGTTGCATTTTTCTTTACATGATCTCTTCCATCATTACCCATCTTTCTTTGTCTGGGTCATTTCTATGTCCTCTCCCGGTGCCTTATTTTTAACACAGCAACCCAGAGGTGCTATTTCCCAAACTGTCTTCTTTAAGAAGCGTTGACTAGATTTCTCCCATGCTCAAATGTCTTTTGGTTTCTAACTGACCTGAGAATTTGGCTCAAGATTCTGATTTCACTTTTAAATTCCTTTAGGGAATTTCCTAGAGCAGGGGTGGGCAACCTCTTTGTGAGTGCGTGCCAAAACCAGCAAAATCTCTGACTCAAAATTCTTCTGTGTGCCAACCCTAATTTTCTGAGAACATGTCACGCCTACTTGATATCTCTTAAGGTGTGTGTATGTGAAGAAACTTGAAAAAATAATAAAATTCATTCGAGCGACAAAAACACAGTATACGATGATGAAAAATACATTTATTTTTTAATGTATACATGTTATGTAAAATTATTTATTTATCTAAGATGCACCTACACTGAATTTATCTGAAAAATCAAAAAGTCAATATTAAGAAAAAAATTGTAAATGGAAGATTATAAGAGAGGGTTTCGCATGCCAGCAAAAGTTACCGGCGTGCCATGTTTGGCACGCGTGCCAGGGGTTGCCCACCCCTGTCCTAGAGTGTATCACCACATTCCCTCTTCCTAGTTACCAGGAACAAATATCCCTGTGTTCCTAGGCCATACTGAGTTGATCAACGCTAAGCAAAGTGAGTAGACAGAAATATCCTCTTTCTACTTAAATTGAACAGCATTCTCAATTAAGTCATCACCCATTTTGAAACCTATCAATCCACAGTCAATAAACAATCATTGATCCAAAAAGGGAAAAGATCAAGTCCTTATTTATCATAACAAACTTAAGAGTGATGGTAAAGTAGGTGACCATGCAGAACATAGAATTATAATGATTACATTTTTGGCACATTGACTCAGAGTATTAAATTAGGAGATAAAAATAGATAAGCATTTTGTTATAGCTGTGGGGGAAGATACAGTAACATGAGGCTGTCCAAACATTAAAATTTAGCTTCATAAACTCCTTAGGCAAATAGGACCTTGTGTATGATTCAAGATAAAATAAACTTTAACAAGAAAAGAATGGGGATTTCCCTTTCCAAGGGTGGCTGAGATTCTGAAGCTATAGCCAAGTCTCCTTACTACATGAATTATAAGGAAATAGCGAAATGTCACGGTCTGCAAACATCTATCAAAATGGATGTTTCAGACGCCAACAAACAGACTGACAAGAAAAGCAAATGCAGTGAGTCAACCATCTCGCCTTATTAGGTCCTAGGAATGTGTCCAATAATCCCAGCACAGATAAAGAAAAATATATGATTAACATGTTCTCTACAGAATGAGTTACAATGTTTTTAATCCTTTCCTGAAAACAAAACTGAAGAAAAGGGAATCAGGCATATTGTGTTACTGATGAATTGTGCTGTGTGCAAATAATTGTTCTTTAACAGACGTTCCATGGCATTTTTGATTGTTTCCCACACCCAGGTAATATATCATTAAATAATATTTAATAGGATACACCCAATGGGTGTGCACAATTTAAGTATTAAAAAAAAGACCAACAACCTACAAAATGTATTCCATTCAATTGAGTTACTACCTTTGATCCAAAAAGTTACAGGCCAATTTTAATAGACAATCACATTAAAGTTTTGGTGAGTATCAACATATTCAAAACTTTAGTATTTAGCTGCGTTCACTTTTAAAAAATGATATTATTAACAATGACAATTAGCATCATTTATTGAGGGCTCAATATGTGCCACCATGATCTACCTTCAACATTTCATTAAATCCTCATAATGCAGTATGAAGGAGGTGTCATCATACCCCCTCTACAGATGAGGAAACTGAGGTTGAGGGAGGTTGAGCCAACCAGGTTACTTGGTATATTATAGTTTTAACTTGGGTTTATGTAAGGTCAGAACCCATGCTCTTTTTCAACTGCTGATTTAATTATGTATTTAGAAATGGCTTTGAAAAGTGAGGGAGAAAAGCAAATTGTGGGGAATCTGGATAAACTTACATTTCCCTAAACTTGCTGCCTGATCAGTGTGCAAGCAGAATCCAACCAAAGGCTTAGTACAGCTCCTGGAGGTTTTATCTCATAGCCACACCCTTGCATAAGCTAAGACCAAATCACGAGCATCTTGCTGGATAGCACTTTCCCTGCTGTAAAATAAGAGATATCGATCTTGAAAACCACTGTGAAGTCTTAGACTAGGGAGTGGAATCTACTCTTGCATTCCTGTCTGAGTTTATACAGTCATCACATTGCTCCTGGCTTAGCACCGGCCATCAATCAGAATTCACCGCTTGCAAGGTCTTGTTGGACTTAAAACGACTTTGTTGGGGGATTTTCCTGAGAGACAAACTGCTGGAAACGGAGAGACTTCTCCGGTGTATGCAAGACAGGACAGAGTCGTAAATAAGACACAGGAGGTCAGAACCCCGCAGGTTGACAAGGACCTTTGCGTTATCTGAGTTGCAGGACACCAACGGGAGGAGCTTGCAGCTCTGCTACGTCTACCGGACGAAGGGGCAGAACCTACTTTCAACAAGAAGGCCAGCTTTTTCTTCTGCTCCTCCAGACGCACGCTGGCGGCTTTCCACTTCTCCTGGATTTCCGTGAGCTCGGCCTGCAAGGCGGCCTGGGCCCCGCTGTCGGCAGAGAGCAGCAGCTGCTTGCCCGCCTCCATGGTCAGGATGTAGCTGCCCTGTTGTCGCAGGAACACTTTCTCTTTGAACTGAAAGGAAGCAGAGCTATTTACTTTCTCATTCTTTCCTTCATCATTTCCCTATTACCAGTATTTTTTAATGACCCTGGATGTTTGCAGACATAGCATGCCCTCTTTTATCCTGTAAGCATTTACTGAGCAAGTACTTTGTGCACGAATAGAACTACATGTCAATAAATGAGAAGTCAATAGGGAGAGGCCTGGTGTCTGCTCCCGGTTAAATGAAATCATGAGACAATATGAAAACTGCTCTATAAAATATATGCACAGGGAGCACACTGTCATATGTGTGTGTATGTGCTTTTAAAAAATTTCATTATGATCTTTATATTTCTCCCACAGAAAACATTTATAATTCGTATTTAATATAAACTAATTCAAAGAAAGATCACATCTCTAACCCACTTGGGGTACACAGGGGGCTCCCTCAAAATAGTAATGCCTTTGTGAGTCTTGAAAGACATATAAACACAACCAGGTAAAGGACCTGGTGTCATGTGAGGGCGAGGAGGCAGGGAGAGAACACCTCCCATGCAGAGAAATGAGGATGCGCTAATTTGCTGTACAAGGTAAATACGGATTTAGGGCCCTGGAGGTGGTTTTCAGTGGCTGGAACACCGGATGCATCTCAGAGCGGAAGAAGATGAGGCGAGACCACCTTGCATAGGAATTTGGTTTGGAAATAAAAGTGACTGAGACTCACAGGACATGAAGCAGGAACATGACGTGTTTGCTGAAAGCAGTCGGGTAGAAAACGCGGTCAAAGAGCATGTATCGGATCTACTATGACAGGTCAGAAAGCTATCGCCTGTCTAGGCAAGAAGCCATGAGCACCTCCTCTAAGGCAGTGGCGGTACGGATGGTAACGAGGAGTATTAGACACGGGAAGGGAGAGGAAAAGAAGAGTACAGCTATGGTTCCTGACTGGTGGACCGCTGGCTGGTGATGACATTTCCTCAGATGGGGAACATGGGAACTGGACTGATGGAGAATGGTTGGTCCAGAGAGCCCAGCTGTTGTTGGAACCCACGGAGTATGTTGTGTGTGTGATGCACACAGACATACATCTAAAAGGCAGATGAATTACATGAGCTGGAAGCTCAGGACGTAAATGTGACCAGAAGATACGTTTGGCCATTCTCTGCTGTTAGGATGTCATTGAAGCCACATGTGGACATGAGGTCTACAAGAGAAGCGAGGAGAAGAAAGCAGAGAAGGGTGACCTTCCGAGGAAGAGGGACCCATGGAGTACACGGGGACAGACTGATGAGAAGGCTAGCAGGTATCTGTCCAAGAAGCTGGAACCCAAATCAAATTCCCAGGCTGGAGAGAGGAAGGGGCTGGACCAGGAATGGACACACAGGACTGAGGACTGAGCCCCTCTCTTCTTTGGGACACTCCAGCGAATTGTTTAAACTCATGAGTAAAATAAGCACAGTGAACGCAAGGGTGTCCTTCCCTTTCTTCTCCATCCCCGATGGGATCCAAGGAGCTGCTGGGCGGCCTGGGTGTGTGAAGAGGAGGGAGTGTTTGTACGAGGCTGGAACCTACCAAACTTTCACCATTAAATACGGCCTTTGGAAAGCAGTCATTTTCTAGGTGTCTGTTGACATCTGAGAACGACATCTGTCCTCATTCCAAAGTCACCCCAGAACCCCTTTGAGAAACTGAGGCTGGGGAAAGTGTGCAGAGTGGACAGGCAGAAGAGGTTCAGCCAGCGTGCTCTGCCCTTACCTGCACGTCATCGAAGAGGGTCCGCGCTTGCTGCAGTGGTATGGGGACGCTCCCAAGACCGCTCACGGGCAGGTAGGACACCTCAACCAGCCACTTGCGGAGCTTCTCTGCCATCTCCCTGTAGCGCTGCCACTGGCGGATCTGGCTGTCGATGATGCCTCTCCTTTGCTGGGCCCTGCGGATCACTCCCTGCCACTGATGACTGAGGAGGGTCAGTTTCAGGTTGAACTCGTCCCTGGGGAACAAACAATTCCACGGGGGAAAACACTGTGATCCTGAATGCAGTGACATTATCAGCCAACGTCCACATACTCGATGGGTGTAAGCCCTGAAAAGCGATCGAGGGCAGAGGTTTTCAAATATCATGCCCTGATCTGCTATCAGGTCTATTGCCAGCACATTTGAAAATGAACAACAAGCCTGGCTGCCGTGGCTCAGTGGTTGAGCATCAACCTATGAACCAGGAGGTCACAGTCAGATTCCCAGGCAGGGCACACGCCAGGTTGCGGGCTCAATCCCCAGTAGGGGGCGAGCAGGAGGCAGCTGATCAATGAGTCTATCTCATCATTGATGTTTTTATCTCTCCCTCTCCTTCCTCTCTGAAATCAATAAAAATAATTTTAAAAATATATAAAAACTGATAATTAAAATAGCGGGGTTTGAAAACAGTGAGTGTTCTCACATTTCAGCACAGGCTGAAGGCTTATGGGTAAGGTCAATGTCGAGTGCATGAGAGAGAAGGGGGCATCGGGCAGCAGTTGCACTGGGAATGGCCCCCAAACCCTCACCCTGAGCACACCTATAGAAATGTTTGCAGCATGTCCACAGCACCTGGTGTGTGCTACAGCAGGAGAAAATGGGGAGCAATGCTTACTTATAACCTCTGTCCTCAGCTGGAATTATAAGCCACTTTGAATGAATACAACTTGGTGATTGTAGCTAGAGTCAGGAGCCACTTAAATAAAATTATGTTATTTTAAAATTAAAGAAAACCGCACTGTATTCCGTGAGCTCTCAGTATTCCTCACAATAAACAGCCCTGGCTATCACTATACAAAGGTTGTTCGTATACATAAAGGTATTAAATTTTACTGAAGTCTTTTCAATTGCCTGGTAAATAATATCAGATTTTTTTAGCTTGTTTTTCCTACTTCCGTATTTTCTACCTTTAACAAATGTTGCCTCGGCCAGCATTGCTCAGTGGTTGAATGTCAATCTATGAACCAGGAGGTTTGATTCCCAGTCAGGGCACATGCCTGGGTTGTGGGCTCGATCCCCAGTGTGGGGTATGCAGGAGGCAGCCAATCAATGATTCTCTCTCATCATTGATGTTTCTGTCCCTCCATCTTCATTCCTCTCTGAAATCAATAAAACTATATTTTAAAAAAATAAAAAAATGTTTGCAGTTATTCATTGAGTTTTCTTTATCCTTCGACTTGTAGCTCTAGAATAGGTTTGCCTAGTATCCCATAGAATGAGTTTCTTTATAGATGATACTGTTCTTCACATGTTTTAGTGCTCATGTGGAACAATACTCATTTTTTCTCTATTGTGACTGACTCTTCAGGGCTCATACTCTTGGAACCTCCTACTACCTAGGGCCACTGTGAACTCTGAGTTTGTAACCAAAAGTGTTCTCAATGTTTCTGTTTTTAAAAGAGCTTTCTGATATTTATCATCTAAGTGCAGTAGAACCAAATATGATGAGTTGGGTTGATGAGACCTCCCTAAAAGCTACCAGTCAGTGTCTCTCATCTCTGAAAACATGTGACTCCAGGCCCCAAGAATACCCTGCAACATGAGAAGTGCCCTGCCTACCCTCTCCCCCCAGGCAGCCGGCCATGATCTCGCTGGAGCCGCACCCTCACTCTGCAGAGCAGAGCAGTCCTGAGCTACCTGCCAGCATGAGGAACCCCTTAGAGCGTGACACTGCCCCCTCTGCTGAACTTGAGCTCTACAAAGCAGACATTATAAATGAACTCTTAAAACACAATGCATTCGTAATCTGAGGCCTTCCTACTGTCAACATGTTCTAACCAAATTTTTTTTTTCACTTGCAACTTTCAAAATTATTCTCCAGTCCAAACCTCATAATTTCATCCCTTGGTGTTTTTCCCTAACTGATAACATTGAAAATTTAATAGATGTTGGCTTGCGCATGCCTTTTAAATTTTATTTTACTTAATGACTCAAACTTTTGTAATATTGTTATAGAGTTGCCTAAGGGAGGATAAAGCAAAAGATAAGCCAATTGCATTTAAATCTGTCTTCTTTTGAGGGACTTAAGTTCTCTGTAAAGTTCACATTAAATTTGGCTTACTTAGACTAGAATAAATACGGTATCACATTTTGTTGTTCCAAGTTTAACCATAGGAATCTTTCATGTTCTTCCAAAGAAATAGCCACTTAAAACTAAAATTGGTTCCAAAGCATTTAAAAAAACACATGGCTTCTTCATAAAAATAATGATTTCTTTTTTAAAAATAATACTAAGTTAAATATAATCACAATTACTGTTCCTAAATATGGGAAAGATATATACATGTAATAAAATAAATGAGATTTGTACGGCAAATATCACCACAGAGTCTAGATGGGATAGCACAACATTGGTCCCAAGAAATGTAAATGTAGTATGAAATCATCAACTCATACCACAGAGCTACTGAGCAGCTAGGTATTACCCCTGCATTGGAATTTTTTTTAAAAAGTTATCTTCATTGTTGAAAGTATTACAGATGTCCCCTCCTTTCAAAAATATGTTTTTATCTCCGAAACCGGTTTGGCTCAGTGGATAGAGCGTCGGCCTGCGGACTGAAGGGGTCCAGGTTCGGTT